AGGTCTTATTTAAAAAAGCGCAAACGGTTTAATGGAATAATTATAAGATAAATTGAATAAGAAAGAAAACTTCTTGCCGACAAGTGACTGTTTGGTCAAATACAATTGACATTTTTTAGCAGTCGCCGCAGTTGGCCGTACAATGCAAGCCAACCTTTGCTATGTAAACGGTGACAGCCAACGTCATCTACGAACAAGTACTCGGCAATTTTGAGCACTCAATTTTTTTATGCATAACATTTTATAATTAAAAAATAGTATTGGTGAGTGTTCTGTTTTGCAATTCATCTATATGAAGTTTAGTAAATTAAACAGTTAATTCGTCAACAGCAGTCAGTCTGCAAGATTTTTTTCTATAGTTAGCCACTCAGTATTCTATTCTCAATGAATTTAATACAAAGAAAAAAAAACGTTTTTTGTTGCTGTTAGGTTAAGTCAAGGTGTTGACGTTTAGGTGATGAAAAAAAAAAAGATACGAAGTTGTAGAGGGTAGAAAAAAATTAAGAAAGATGTTATCTTTTGGATTCTTTTTTGATACATTCAATTAGATTTTATACTGGCTTCTAGTAACATCTCATTTCTATATATATAATGCTTGTAATGTTATACTTGTTCTCAGGATTGTTTAAATCGTTGATAGGGAATACGTAGAAGTTTATTTTAAAAACGCCAATAAACTGATATAAAATGAAAATTTCTGCAATGTAAGTGATCATCTAAGTGATCATTCTAATATAAATAGCTATTTTCTTGGGTCTACTTATTTAAGTACAAAGAAGAGGCAGTGGTTTATTTTAAAGATTTGCTACTGTGAAGTTAAAAAAAAAAAAGATCAGAAAATGGCATTAAAAAATGATGGAATGGTACGATGTGGATCAAGTAGACATTATAATGAAATGATTCTAAGAGATTTGTCGTTGTAAAAAAAAAATGCATTTAAAAACATAATGGATAAAAAATCGTAGAATATCGTCTTTCTCAACTTCGTTTTTTTTTTTTGTATTTGCAAAGACTAGTCAATTTTGAAATTAAGACACAGCGGACAAAGTTGATTCAGCAAAAAGAAAAAAATGGAGTTTACATAGCAGAAATATGGAGTGTCAATTTCTGATGCCATTTCATACTGATTTTTTTATTGATCAAAAGTCAC